TTCTACCACTCTTGTTTATACAACCAAGGATTTTATTAGCTTTTTTGGAAGCTCTTGCACACTGCTGGTTCATGTTTAAGTGATTCGCCACTCAACGCCAAGGTCCCTCTCGCAGTTAACTGTTTTTGAGCCAGGTTTCACCTAATCTGTATTTGCAGCTTTAGGTTTTTCTGCCTATGTGTAAAACCTTGCTTTTCTCCACACTAAATTTCATGTTGTTAGATAGGGCCCATTGTTCAAGTCTGTCAAGGTTTTTTTGGATCCTCAGCTTGACTTCTGGGGTGTTGGCTATTCCTGCTAGCTTAGTGTCATCTGCAAATTTGATGACTTCCCCTTTTATTCCCTCATCTAAGTCATTTATGAAGACTTTGAGAGTACTGGGCCTAAAACAGAACCTTGTGGTACCCCACTGCTTACTTCCCTCTCTGTAGATGTAGTACCATTAAGGACGACTTGTTGAGTATAGTTTGTCAGCTAATTACAAATCCATCTGGTGGTGATGCTGTCTATCCCACATTTGTCTAGCTTACCAAGATACAGGTTGTCAAATGTCTTGCTGAAATCTAAGTATACTATGCCTACAGCATTTTGCTGGTCTACTAATTTAGTCAGAATGTCAAAGAATGTGGCAGCCCCTTGGTGGGTTTTATCAATCAGAATAGAGCAGGGTGGAATCTTGGATAGTCCTTGACTTACAACAGTTTGCTTAGTGGCTGTTCAAAGTTACAGTGGCACTGAAAATAGCGCAATGGTTAGAATACACTTCTTGTTGTTAATTGCGAAGTCCTGTCCGACCCATCATGACCCAATGGACAACGTTCCTCAAGGTCTTCCTGTCCTCTACCATCTTCTGGAGTCCATTTAAGTTCACGCCTATGAAGCAGAATTAGGCTGCTTCATAGAATGCAGTATTGCAGGCTAATTCTGCCGACTGCCAGCAGTTCGATTCTCACCGGCTCAAGGTTGACTCAGTCTTCCATCCTTCCGACGTCAGTAAAATGGGGACCCAGATTGTTGGGGGGCAATATGCTGATTCTGTATACTGCTTAGAGAGGGCCGTAAAGCACTGTGAAGAGGTATATATGTCTAAGTGCTATTGCTATTCTGACAGCCATCATGAATCTTTCTTCTTTTCTTCTTTTTCCTTCATCCAGCAGGGGACACCGGGAAAAGTGGACAAAGTTCCAGTTGTGAGATTTTCTCCGTTTAGAAAGCCCTGCAACTGAGAAGGCGCCGGAAATTATGCTGGGTGGAGAAATACTTCGATAGAAGGTCCCCTCAGAGGAACCAGGAAAGACTCTTCAAGTGCTCTGAGTGCGGGATATCCTTTGCTCACAAATCCCTCCTTTTGATTAACCGGACTCTGGACATGAGGAATGGATCCCATCTGTGTTTGAAGTGTGGGAACTCATTTCGTTGCTGTGGAGTTTTGCCAAACATCTCCGGAGCCACCCCGGACTGAAGCCCTACAAATGTGGAGAGTGTGGGAAGCATTTTGCTAAAGGCTGGGATATCGGAGCTCCTTAGCGTATCCACCAGGGAAAGAGACCTCAGGAAGGCCTCAGTGTTTTTCCAGGCCTCAGAACAGCCCAACTGAAGAGAAACACCTGCAATTGTGTGCAATGTGGGCTTTGCTTTTCTCAAAACTCAGAGATGCTTAAACATCAACAAAATGTTGATTGGACAAAAACCTTATCAATGTCTTTTGTTCGAAAAACAAGTCTCAAAATCCACGGGAAAATTCACATGGAAATAAAACCTTATAAATGCTTAGAGTGTGGGAAATGTTTCACTCGGACTTCATCACTTTGCAATCATAATAAAAGACACACAGAGGAGGAAAGCAGAACGTGCCTAGAATGTGGGAAATGTTTTTCCAGGAAATCATCCCTGCGGCAACATCAGACAATCCACACTGGGGAGAGACCCCATGAATGCCCAGAATGTGAGAAACGATTTGGGAATCCTTCCACACTTTGGAGTCACCAAAAGACGCACACGGAGGAAAAACCTTATAAATGTAACGATTGTGAGAAATGTTTTCCTCTAAAGAAAAGTCTTTTTCGACATCAGATAATCCACACAGGGGAGAAACCCTATCAGTGCATTGAGTGTGGAAATTTTTTTCGTTCGATATCAAACCTCGGACAGCATAAGAAAATTCATAGAGGGGAAAAAAAATACAAATGTTTAGACTGTGGGAGAGCATTTATTAATTCAGATCGTCTTAGAAGTCACTGGCAAGCCCATATAGGAGAGAAGCCCCATAAATGCTTGGAGTGCGATAAATGTTTTTCTAGGAGATACAGCCTTTTGATACATCAGAGTACCCATAGTGGAGAGAAACCACATAAATGTTCGGAGTGTGGGAGATGTTTCGCCCGAAAAACAAACCTAACTCGACACGAGAGACTTCACACTGGAGACAGGCCCTATCAGTGCCCTGAATGTGACAAGCGATTTCTGGTGTCTGCTGAACTCCGGATACACCAGAGAACCCACAGTGGAGAGAAACCATATAAATGTCCGGAGTGTGGGAGATGTTTCGCCCAAAGGACACACCTAACTCATCATGAGAGACTTCACACCGGAGACAGGCCCTATCAATGCCCAGAATGTGACAAGCGATTTGCGGTGTCTGCTGAACTCCGGAGACACCAGAGGAGGCACACAGGAGAGAAGCTCTATAAATGTGGGGCGTGTGCGAAAAGTTTTCCTACAGTAACACTGCTTCGAGTTCATGAGAGAATCCACACAGGGGAGAAGCCTTATAAATGTGTAGAGTGTGGAAAATGCTTTTCCCAAAAACAACACCTTGGAAGTCATCAAAAGGTCCATAAAAGAATGAAGCCATAAAGACTCCTAAAGTGTAGAAATGTTTTGCTTAAAAGGGAGATATCAGAAAACTCAAATGGGAAAAGGCCTTACGCCCTGATGGTGGACCAGTTTTTTATAGTTGTTCAACCCTTAGAAGTCATGTAAGAGTTCCTAAAGGGGTGGGGAGGCGAATTAGAAACTCTTAGATCATGAGAGAGCATTTTTTTTGCCATTCATCCCTTAAAAATCATACTCTAATCCAGGGGTATCAAACTCGCAATGTCACGTGATCTTTCATGACGTGTTGTGACTTTTTTGCCGTTGCCGGCAATGGGGTGGGTGCAGTTTTGCTATGATGCATCCGGTTCGTGGGCTGGCAGTTTGACACCCCTGCTCTGATCCATATAGGAAAGATGCAGCATAAATATTTGGAGTGTGATGTATGTTTAGCCTGAAAAAATACTCTTTTTCAGCATCAGTGAATTCTTACTGGAGAGAAACTTTTATGAGGGCTTAGGATATGGCAAAGGTTTTCATCTGATAATCAGATCTTCAGATGCACAATGAAAAATCCACACAGAAGAAAAACCTCGACAAGTGTGTAGCGTGAGAAAACTTGCCAATTGGAACATCTTGCCTCCTGGAGTTTGTCCGTTTGAAATTGTCTCCTTGGGAATTTTGTTGCCAACTTAAATTTTTTATAATTTTTAAAGCAAATTTAATTTTAAGAAGTGAATATGAAAGTCTAATGTGAGTGTGAAAATCTAAAATCTAATGTGAAATTCTCCGGAATCATACAAGAGGGTTGGACTAGAAGACTACAACTCTTGTTATTCTGTTATAGGTCCCTTGTAGCTCTGTGATTCTAAGAATATATATTCTTATATATACAGGTATTCCTCGACTTACAACTACAATTGAGCCCAAAATTTCTGTTGTTAAGTGAGACATTTGTTAAGTGAGTTTTGCCCCATTTTACGACCTTTTTTGCCACAGTTGCCGAGTGAATCACTGCAGTTGATAAGTTAGTCCCGCGGTTGTTAAGTGAATCTGGCTTCTCCCATTGACTTTGCTTGTCAGAAGGAAGGCTGCAAAAGGGGATCACGTGACCCTGGGACACAGCAACGGTCATAAGTATGAGCCGGTTGCCAAGCATCTGAATTTTGATCACATGACCATGGGGATGCTGTAAATGTGGTAACTGAAAAACGGTCATAAATCAACTTTTTTTCAGTGCCGTTGTAACTTTGAAAGGTCACTAAATGAACTATTGTAACTAGTGTGTCTGTGTGTGTGTGTGTGTTAAAATTCAATTTTGCCCCTAGCACATCCTCCACAGTGGGGATCAGTCTTCAGCAGAAAAAATACAAATCCCTCAGCTAAATCATTATTTNTTCTACCACTCTTGTTTATACAACCAAGGATTTTATTAGCTTTTTTGGAAGCTCTTGCACACTGCTGGTTCATGTTTAAGTGATTCGCCACTCAACGCCAAGGTCCCTCTCGCAGTTAACTGTTTTTGAGCCAGGTTTCACCTAATCTGTATTTGCAGCTTTAGGTTTTTCTGCCTATGTGTAAAACCTTGCTTTTCTCTATACTAAATTTCATGTTGTTGAATAGGGCCCATTGTTCAAGTCTGTCAAGGTTTTTTTGGATCCTCAGCTTGTCTTCTGGGGTGTTGGCTATTCCTGCTAGCTTAGTGTCATCTGCAAATTTGATGACTTCCCCTTTTATTCCCTCATCTAAGTCATTTATGAAGACTTTGAGAGTACTGGGCCTAAAACAGAACCTTGTGGTACCCCACTACTTACTTCCTTCTATATAGATGTAAGGACTACTTGTTGAGTACAGTTTGTCAGCTAATTACAAATCCATCTGGTGATGATGCTGTCTATCCCATATTTGTCTACCTTACCAAGATACAGGTTGTCGAATGTCTTGCTGAAATCTAAGTATACTATACCTACAGCATTTTGCTGGTCTACTAATTTAGTCAGAATGTCAAAGAATGTGGCAGCCCCTTGGTGGGTTTTATCAATCAGAATAGAGCGGGTGGAATCTTGGATAGTCCTCGACTTACAACAGTTTGCTTAGTGGCTGTTCGAAGTTACAGTGGCACTGAAAATAGCGCAGTGGTTAGAATACAGTTGTTGTTGTTGTTAATTGCGAAGTCGTGTCCGACCCATCACGACCCAATGGACAACGTTCCTCCAGGTCTTCCTGTCCTCTACCATCTTCTGGAGTCCATTTAAGTTCACGCCTATGAAGCAGAATTAGCCTGCTTCATAGAATGCAGTATTGCAGGCTAATTCTGCCGACTGCCAGCAGTTCGATTCTCACCGGCTCAAGGTTGACTCAGTCTTCCATCCTTCCGACGTCAGTAAAATGGGGACCCAGATTGTTGGGGGGCAATATGCTGATTTTGTATACCGCTTAGAGAGGGCCGTAAAGCACTGTGAAGAGGTATATATGTCTTAAGTGCTATTGCTATTCTGACAGCCATCATGAATCTTTCTCTCTTCTTTTCTTCTTTTTCTTTCATCCAGCAGGGGACACCAGGAAAAGTGGACAAAGTTCCAGTTGTTAGATTTTCTCCCTTTAAAAAGCCCTGCAACTGAGAAGGCGCCGGAAATTATCCTGGGTGGAGAAATACTTCAATAGAAGCTCCCCTCAGAGGAACCAGGAGAGACTCTTCAAGTGCTCTGAGGGCAGGATATCCTTTGCTCACAAATTCCTCCCTTTGATTAACCAGACGCTGGACATGAGGAATAGATCCCATCTGTGTTTGAAGTGTGGGAACTCGTTTCGTGGCTGTGGAGCTTTCCCAAACATCTCCGGAGCCACCACGGACTGAAGCCCTACAAATGTGGAGAGTGTGGGAAGCATTTTGCTAAAGGCTGGGACATCAGAGCTCCTTAGCGTATCCACCAGGGAAAGAGACCTCAGGAAGGCCTCAGTATTTTTCCAGGCCTCAGAACAACCCCAACTGAAGAGAAACCCTGCAATTGTGTGCAATGTGGGCTTTGCTTTTCTCAAAACTCAGAGATGCTTAAACATCAACAAATCCACACGGGACAAAAACCTTATCAATGTCTGGAGTGTGAGAAATCTTTTATTCGGAAAACAAGTCTCAAAATCCACAGGAAAATTCACATGGAAATAAAACCTTATAAATGCTTCAAGTGTGGAAAATGTTTCACTCGGAGTTCATCACTTTGCAATCATACTAAAACACACACAGAGGAGGAAAGCAGAACGTGCCTAGATTGTGGGAAATGTTTTTCCAGGAAATCATCCCTGCGGCAACATCAGACAATCCACACTGGGGAGAGACCCCATGAATGCCCGGAATGTGAGAAACGATTTGGGAGTTCTTCCAGACTTCGGAGTCACCAAAAGACGCACACGGAGGAAAAACCTTATAAATGTAACGATTGTGAGAAATGTTTTGCTCTAAAGAAAAGTCTTTTTCGACATCAGATAATCCACACAGGGGAGAAACCCTATCAGTGCATTGAGTGTGGAAATTTTTTTCGTTCGATATCAAACCTCGGACAGCATAAGAAAATTCATAGAGGGGAAAAAAAATACAAATGTTTAGACTGTGGGAGAGCATTTATTAATTCAGATCGTCTTAGAAGTCACTGGCAAGCCCATATAGGAGAGAAGCCCCATAAATGCTCGGAGTGCGATAAATGTTTTTCTAGGAGATACAGCCTTTTGATACATCAGAGTACCCACAGTGGAGAGAAACCACATAAATGTTCGGAGTGTGGGAGATGTTTCGCCCGAAAAACAAACCTAACTCGACATGAGAGACTTCACACTGGAGACAGGCCCTATCAGTGCCCTGAATGTGACAAGCGATTTCTGGTGTCTGCTGAACTCCGGATACACCAGAGAACCCACAGTGGAGAGAAACCATATAAATGTCCGGAGTGTGGGAGATGTTTCGCCCAAAGGACACACCTAACTCATCATGAGAGACTTCACACCGGAGACAGGCCCTATCAATGCCCAGAATGTGACAAGCGATTTGTGGAGTCTGCTGAACTCCGGAGACACCAGAGGAGGCACACAGGAGAGAAGCTCTATAAATGTGGGGCGTGTGCGAAAAGTTTTCCTACAGTAACACTGCTTCGAGTTCATGAGAGGATCCACACAGGGGAGAAGCCTTATAAATGTGTAGAGTGTGGAAAATGCTTTTCCCAAAAACAACACCTTGGAAGTCATCAAAAGGTCCATAAAAGAATGAAGCCATAAAGACTCCTAAAGTGTAGTTAGTTAGTTAGTTAGTTAATTTAATTTGTATACCGCCCTTCTCCCGTAGGACTCAGGGCGGTTCACAGCATATTAAAAACACAAATACAATATACAGGATACAAAAAAAAATCATACAAAAATACACAAAATAACCCCACTAAAACCTAATTAAAAGCCAAATATTGATTGCTGTGTTCCCATTAAAATTACTTTTTAAAAACGTCCCTACCT